AGGGGTGGGAGGTGAAGATGGGATGGGAATAGGGAAAGGGATGGGAGGTGGGGACAGGGATGGAAGGTGGAGATGGGAGGGGGATGGGGACAAGAGTGGGAGGTGGGGATGGGATGGGGGTGGGAATGGAGACAGGGATGGGAGGTGGGGATGGAGTTTGAAGTGGGGATAGGTATGGGAGGTGCGGATGGAGTTAGAGACAGGAGTGGGAGGTGGAGATGGGATGGGGACAGGAGTGGAAGGTGGGGATAAAGATGAGAATGGAGAAAACAATGGGAAATGGGGATGGGAATGGGAGCTGGGGATGGGATGGAGTTGGCAATGGGGACAGGGATGGGAGTTGGGGATGGGGATAGGAATGAGAGGTGGGGATGGAGTTGGGGATGGGAGGTGGGGATGAAGATGGGGATGGGATAGGGAACTGTCTGTTCTGCCTTGCTCTCTGGAGCACAAAGACATCCCTTCCCCAGCAGCCCATTGTAAACACTGCACAGCGCTGACCATTAGCAATGCATTAAGGTAAAGCCAATATCAGTGTTTTTCCCTTCCCCCTGCATCCAAAGCCCTGACCCCAGCATTTCCCCAGCCAGGTTTATTCCTGGTGCAGACAAATCAATAAAGAAAATCCTCCCTTACAGCGCTGCAGGCTGGCTCTGGGATACAAGCACAAAGCAGTCAGTACAGAGGGGGATGGGATGGGAATTCATTGCTGCCGAGCTGCAGAGAGCAGGCGCAGAGCAGGGAAAGGAGCGGGGCCCCCCCGGGATGCTGGAGGCAGAGAGCAGATGGAAATGGGGGGATGTGAGAGGGAGGATGTGAGCAGGGAGGGAAGACAGAGCGTGAGCAGCTCTCCTCTAGCAGCCCTGCACGATGAGCTCCGACACAGAACAACCCCAATGGGAAATGGCTTCGCTCAAACTCTCTGCATGCACAGGGGCTGAGCTCAGCTCTCTCGTGCGAGGGGCTTCAGCTGCCTCACAGAGATGCTCTCCTGGGAGGCTGCAGAATACCACGGTGCCTGAAGGGCCCCAGGCACAGCTCATTCGCCCTCCATTCACAGAAGGAATAAAGGCAAACCCTGAGCAAAAACCTCAGGCTGGTCCTCCTGCATCCTCTCCCCAGGTCAGCCCCATGCATTGCTCCTTGCATACAAAGGTCACTGAAATACAGTGTTTGTTGTGTCCCCTTGAAGAGGTTGGAAGTGTTAAGCAATCAGAGCTTGAGAAGTTACAGCTGTTGGGAGAGGAGGAGGGAAAAAAAACACAGCCAGCTTGGAAACAACAGGCTGGGTGGGGGGGGGAAATGCACTCAGGCAAAGCTGCAGTTAGGGACCCATGGTGGTGGCAGGGCAGGGCATCGTTATGGTCCTCTGTTCTGCTGTGCTTCAGCCTCGGGTGCATCCCTCAGTGCTCAGGGAGCATCCCTGCTGCTCAAGGGCTTTGTGCTGGAGGAGCACCCAGCACTGCTCCCAGGATCTCATTGGCAGTCCCAGCACAGCCTTCCAGGAGTGCAGTTCCCAGCGTGCCGGTTGGTCAGGGCGAGAGCAAAGGGCTGTTCCTAGGTAACATTGGCATTAGGGATGAAAAGGAGAGGGAACAGGGACAATGGAGGTTTATAAATGGGCACCAAGAGGCTCTTGCCAAGCAGGGCACTCCAGCTCTCCTTGCTGTAAAGGTTGTGCTCAGCCTCTGCCAGCAGCCAGCCACTGCCCAAAAAAGTCCCCAGGCCCTTGAAGCCACACAGTGAGGAGGAAAATGAGAGTTGGGCAAAAATAACCCCTTCCTGGCTCCAACTTTCCCCATACGCAGAGGGGACAGGAGGTCGGGGAGCACTTGCTGCTGCAGCTGCTGCCGGTGCTTTTGGGACACCCAATATAGCAGGGCTGACGGCCACTCCCTGTCTGCAGGCTCCCCTGCTGCCTCACAGCACCCCTACACATTCTTGCTGAAATCCAAAGTATTTTGAGGACAGAGTGCCTCCCATGCTGCCCCTCAGTATCTGGTTTCCTGGGGCATCCCCCGCTCCTCGGTCTGTCCCAGCAGCTGCCTCTACAAACCATTGCATTTCCACATTTCCCAGGCTCCCTGTTCCAAGGGCAAAGAAGCTATGGGATTTGAAATGAAGGACAACCCATATGTGAAGAGTAAGGATGCAGGCAGGGCACCATCAGCCCCTTCCAGAGCCTGGGAGCAGAGAGCATCAGAAGGGCTCAGCCTCCCAGGGGTGATAAGCACGGAACAACTCACTGAGTTAGGGGCATCCTCCCACTCCTTGCTCAATCAGATGACATTAAGGATCGTGTAAACGACCATAAAACATTATCCAAGGGTTGGCAGCACAAGGTTGAGTGGGCAATTAGCACTGCTCCTCATCAAAGCCTGCACCAATCAGCACTATTAGTTTAACATCGAGAGCAGCAGAGCAGGGAGAAGGGGAGGCAGATGGAAACGGAGCTCTGGTGGGAATGAAAAAGCATCAGGGGGCTCCTGCTGCAGTGGAGATGGAGAGAAGGAGTGCAGGCTGAATCCCCAGCACCAGTGCCCCAGTCCCCATCCATGGCTGCCGTGGACAAGGGAATGATGGGCTGCACCAAGCTGCCTTTCATCGCACTGCTGCAGGAAAGCCATCCCTAGCCCTCTATTAGAGGAGTAATGCAGACCTCCAGAGGGCTTGGGATCCCAGAAGTGCGGGCTGGTGGAGATGTATGGAAACAGGGCCAGGAGCTAAGTGGAGAAACCAATGTCTGACCTGGAAAGGACCTGCCCATCTCCAGTCCAGGCAGCAGCCAGGAAATCAGCAGCATTTGTGGGGAAAGAAAACCGGGATGGGGGGCCCCCAGGGGATATTTTTTTTTTTTTTTTTTTACAGAGCAGTGCCCCATTTTTCCATTGTTTCCTTCCCTGGTGTGTAAACAGCCCCATTGCCCAATGCCTCATCCCCACAGCTGTGGCTCAGCGCTGCCGATGTCTGCCGAGGGCTGCAGCCCTTTCCAAGAAAGCAACACCACAGCACATCCCTCCCCCCTCCCCCAGATTCCTTCTCTCCCACGAGCTCAAAGGAAACATGCAAAGCATTTTACCCAGCGTTTTACGGCTGTGCTGCTGCTCCTATTTTTAAACCGAGGGGGAAAAGGCTCGGAGGTATTTATAAATAAAAGCTTTAGGAAAACCAGGCTCGTTATCCAGAGCGCTGCGTGGAGTGGTAATTGTGCTGCTCTCACACAAAGCCATGGAACACCCCTCCCTGCCTGCTGCTTTCACACAACGCAGCAGAGCAAACCAAGGACACATGAGAATAGCCCCAAACAAAGGCCACTGTGACCCCAAACCCAGTGCTCTCAGACCGCCCAGGGGCACACATATCTCTGGGCATGAGATTTGTTGGGCTCTCTCTCTTAAGACCTGCAGGACTGCTCTAAGAGCATCCCTATTTCCACGGCACTGTGGGGACACGAGGAAGCTTTTCTCTACAGCAGCCTCAAGCTTTGAGCATCAGCTTCTGGCTGCCCACAGACACAGGACCTTGCAGTAAGTGGGACTGCAGCAGGCATTCACTACACTCCTGGTATTGCCTGTCCCCAGGCCACAAGCAGATCTTCCAAGCCTTCTACCTCCACACCTTACAGCAAGTCAGGGCACAGCAGATATTTCATTTACTGCAGCCTTCTGAAATCACACAGCTTGTAATACATCAGCTTTTTCATTCAGCACAGCCTCACCACCAGGCAGATAACGCTGTGCAGTACACAGATAATGTGGTTTGGATGAAAGAGATAACCCTGTCTACACTTGGATTGATGCTGATGGATCTCTGGCATCTCCTCTTCCTGAATCCTGCCTGTCCTGGGCCCCTCACTATATTGAGGTCATGGAGCGTATCTGGAGAAGGGAAGCAAGGATGCAAAGGGTCTGGAGCACAAATCTTATGGGGAGTGGCTGAGGGAACTGGGATGGTTTGGTCTGGAGAAGAGGAGGCTTAGGGGAGACCTCATCACTCTCTACCTTCTCCCAGGTCACAGTGACAGGACAAGAGGTGATGGCATTAAGTTGTGCCAGCAGAGGTTCAGGAGGTGTTCAAGAAAAGGGCAGATGTGGCACTGAGGGATGTGGTTAGTGGGGATGGGCTGATTCTATTCTACCTCCCCTCCCCTTCTCCCTCCCCTGAAGGGTAATTTCATCAGCATCTGCTCAAGAAGTCCTTCTGAAGCCTCTCCAGTGTACCACACACACCAGTACCACACGAGCATCTTATCTATGGCACACAGCTGAGACGGCCACGGTTTCCCTGTGCTGTAGTTTCCCTGCATGCAGTAGAGACTGACCATTTGCCGAGGCCAGGATCATGGCTTGAAGCATCTCCGTGTCAAACTGGTTGTTGGGCCAGGCTCCACCTTCCTCTCCATTCTGGGAGCTGTGGGAATAGAAAACAAAAGGAAAGAAATGGCGTGTTACTCCAGCTGAGAGAAGAGGGGTGGGCTGGGGAAGGGATCTGCTGGAGACGGCAGTGCTGCAGGAAAACCAAGCAGCTTACAGCTGGATGTGGGCAACGTTGGCAGAGAGGAGGGTGAGGGCTTCAAATCCCTCTGTTAAGCAACACTCTGGAGTGTAAATATTGTCAGAAGTCTCCATCCCTCTCCAAGGCTTTTGAAGAGCAACCACCAAAGTACTTGGGGCTGAGTGGTACTTCTAGGAAGACCTTCCTAATGCCTGCTGGTTGAACCAGCTGGCACCTAACGACCTCAAATCCCTTTAGGTGCCTTCCCACAGCTGAATACCACAAACACACATTAAAAAAAACAACAAGAAACAACCCAGTTCTAGACCTGCAGAGATGCACGCGCCCTTGTATGACCAGGTTCCTTCTGAAAGCCACATGGGGTTGTTGCCCTTCCAAGTTATTTCAGGTTACAACTCCAGTTATTTCAGGCTACAATTCCACTCTGCAGCTTCATTCATGGGAACGAAGGTGAGAAAATCCTGTGGAGCCACAGGATTTGGGATCAGCAGGGAGGCAGCTGCCCATCACCGAAATCCTGCTCTGAAGGGAGTCCAAGAGCAGCCACCAAGAGCAGCGAGCGGAGTTGGGTGACCACATGGGGCAGCTGCTGGGGGCTGAGCAGGGCAGCTCTGCCTGGGAAAGCTGTGGGGATGCCACCAGGCTTCCCTTCAGGAAGTTTTGCAGAGCAAAGTTACAATCAGCGCTCTGTGCGCCTTCAAACAAGCTCTGCATTGATGTCTGCCAGGTGCCTGGCAGCTGTGTTCAACCACCCCTCACTCGGGGCCACAGTTTCCCATCAGAGAAGCCAGGGATGTGTTCCCACAGCCCTCCTTCCAGCAGGGAGACCTGAAAGTCCCACCAGCTGCATGATCACAGCACACATCTACCATGGCTGGGTCCCTGCCCCAGTTACATCATCGCCTTGCAAGTAGGAAAGTCCTGAATGCAAGGCTCTCCCTTTCCTCCCTGTGCAAGTGTCCTATACAGAGAAATTTTAAACATGCAGATGCTTGTATGAGTGTGCTGAGAACCATGATCAGACCCCACGCAACCCTACTCCATCACGGAGCAACACATTGTGCAGTAATGCCTTTAAGTTGTGCCAGGGGAGGTTCAGGTTGGATATTAGGAAAAGCTTTTTCTCAGGAATAGTGGCAATGCACCCAAATGGGCTGCCTGGGGGGAGGGCGTTGAAGTCACCATCCCCAGGGGTAAACGTGGCACTGAGGGACGTGGGCAGTGGGCACAGTGGGGACAGGCAAGGGCTGCAGCCTCACATCACCACTCTCACTCCCCTGCTTTATCTGTGCAGGTGACACTCCATCCCTGACACAGCAGAGGCTGCCCGCTGAGGCTCCGAATTGCCTGCCATCTGCTGCAACCCGGGGCATCCCATAACCTATTTATACCTTGCCACACGTGCGCTGGCATGGCTTCAAGACTTCAAGGCCTGCCTGCCTCAATGGGTGGCAATGCTCGAGGAGCAAGCACTGCTCCACGTCAGGGCTGGGAATAGAGATCCTATAAAGGACTTAGCAACCTAAACCCCATTGCAAACCACAACCCACGCAGCCACCACTTAACCCCAGCAGCTCCTGCTCTCCTGCTGGGCTCAGGGCTCCAGATGGGGTCCTACTGGTGCCAAATTGGGGAGAACCATCTCTTCTTCTGACCTGCAGGCTACAGCCCAGCCAGAACAATCTGGTCTGCAGATCCTCCTGTTCTACCCCATGCAGAGCCAGGTCCTTCCTGCAAGCTTACAGCACCCAGCACTCTCCAGTACTGCACAAAGCAGCATGTTGCTCCCCATGATGTCACACTGGAGAGCTATTTTAGAAATGCCAGGGTTGCAGAAGCCCTGATTGAGCTCATTTCTGTATGCAGGAAATTCAAGTGCCTGAATTACTTGCGAGCGCAATCATCCGGAATTCAGAGGCAGGAGAAACATGAATGCAGTAATCTAAAAGCATCCTAAAATAACTTCACATAGTGAAAAGAAGGAAAAAAAAAAGAGGCACACAGCTGATGGGCAAAGCTGGCTGCCTGCCACAGCTATAGGACAGGGCTGTGAATGGCTGAGGCTGCACTGCCCGGAACAGGAGGTGGTTCCTATGGAAATGGGCTTCAAGGACTGGCAGCTCTTAATACAAATGGCATTTTCTCAATAGGCTTTTTATAAAAACCCATTCTGCAGAGGACAGAGTTGTTTTTTTGTTGGTGTTTTTTTTAATTTCCCTCCTGTTTCATTCCATTCCACGCTTCAAAAGCTCGGAAAACATCTGGATTTAGATTTGGGGAATAATCTCAGCACTAAGGTTGGAGGAAAGGAAGCAAACCTGTGTTTGAGACAAAGAGGAACCAGACCCAATGATGCTGCATCCAAGAGATCAAAGCACGGGTACACGGGGCACCACCAAACCCAGCCAAAAGCTGTCAATCCCAAAATGGGAGGCATGCCCTGCAGCCCCTGGTGAGGCTCTGCAATGCCTCATTGCTCAGCAGCCCGAAGGCATCAGCCCACGCAGCAGGGCGGGCCTTGCACCACTGACCTGCTATTTTCTGCCACCCCAGCCAACGCATCGTCCCTATTTCCACTTCCAGTACAGAAATATTCATTTCCTTGCAGGGTTTCTATGGAGACCGTTACTATGGCATCCAAATGCCTCACAAACATCTCTTTTTCTTTTTTTTTTAGCCCGGTGAATTTCCGAGATTAACTTGTTTTCCACTTGTTTTCCTCATCCTGCAGCTGGAAGTCTGATTTGTGCCACGCTTGTGCTGTGGGTGCCCAGGAGGACCCTGAGCATGTGGCCCTATGGCCCCAGGAGATGCCCAGCAGGGTGGTCACCCGCTCAGCCTCCTCTCTTTATTGGGCTTTTCCAGTCCTTCCAGCAGCACTGCAGCTTCCACCCACCGCTCCAAATCCCACCAGGCTCTGTGCATGGGGGGCACACAGCTGGGGTCCACCTCACCCTCGACCCTTTCCCTTCCTTCCCATTTATCCCCAGCCTCCCATTGCCTCCTTGCCCGCTGGCAGGGGCAGCACCAGCCATAGTATTCCCCTCCCAACCTTCAGGGCCAGGCACTTTCTCCAATCCCTTTCCCCCAGCCCCATTCCCCAGCAGAACTGATGCTCTCAAGCTGACCCTTTCACCCTCCTCCCCCTCCTTGCATCGCTGTTTTTCCTCCTTCAGCCTCCTCCCACACCCAGCCCCAGCCAGAGGCAGCAGCAGCAGCAATAAAACCTCAGCCCCATGTGGTTTTGTGCTGGCAAAGTGACAAGGAGTGGGGAAAGTGACAGCCATCACACAGCCTCTTAAGGTGTGCTGGGGACACAGCCATGGCAGCTCAGCCATGCCCTGGGGGCAGCATCCCTCACCCTATAGACCCTCCCCCAATCAATCCCATCACCCAAATCCAAACCTCCCCCCAAAAATCAGTGCTAGATCAAAACTCGCTGTGATTTCCTTCCTTCTCCCTTAACAGAGGATGTTGCCCGCCCTTCCCCCACTCTCTGTGCATTCCCTGACTCTTCTGTAATGCAATTATAGGCACTGGGGAGGGCTTGGACAAGGCACAGATTTAAGATCCTGACTTCACAACAGACCGAACAGTTTTAGCAGGCAAAGCAGGAGGAGATCTGCAGCCTCCCAAAGCAATGGGGATGCTCCTGAGCTGCTGAGATACTGCTCTGCATAGAGGGGGGGGGAAGGGGAGTCAGAACAAAGGGCCCCAAAGTCTCTGCCACCCCCCCACTCCACAAACACACCTGGAAAGCTATTTTGAGACGTAATTGCACCTCTGTGTCAATCCCTGCGCCTCTGTAGCTGAGCATGGTGTGTGCTCAGCTGCACAGGAAACAGATGGAGAGAGGAAAAAAATCAACTAATACGTGTCACACCTGCTGGACTCCCCAAAATAATGTTTCTATACATAATGCCACAAGAATGCAACTCCTGATATGCTGCAGGCTGTCCAGAGTGAAAAACATATCCCCTGGCTGGGCTGGTTCCCTTCACTATGCTCCACACCTTCTGCACCCCCTGGCAGGATCCAGGTGGCTCAGGGCATCATAGAACTATAGAATCATAAAATGGCCTGGGTTGAAAAAGACCACAATGACCATCTAGTTTCCAACCCCCCTGCTGTGTGCAGGGTCACCAACCACCAGACCAGGCTGCCCAGAGCCACATCCAGCTTGGCTTTGAATGCCTCCACGGATGAGGCATCCACAGCCTCCTTGGGCAACCTGTCCCCAGGGAAATTCTTTACAGAGAGAGTGGTGAGGTGCTGGAACAGCTGCCCAGAGAGGCTGTGGATGCCCTGTCCATCCCTGGAGGTGTTCAAGGCCAGATCGGATGGGGCCCTGGGCAGCCTGGTCTAGTATTAAATGGGGAGGTTGGTGGCCCTGCATGTGGCAGGGGGGTTGGAGATTCATGATCTTTGAGATCACTTTCAACCCAGGCCATTCTATGATTCTGTGTGCTCCAATAAGCATCCAGGAGCACCAACCCAGCACCAGGGGTCCCTCCTTCCTATCCCCACCTCAGCACCCAACAGCACAGGGGACGGCAGCACCCACTCAGAGCACAGCTCCAAGCAGGCTCATAGTGCTCCAAAGCAACATTTTCACTGTCACATTCAATAGGGAATCACAGTCCCACCTAAAGCTGCGAGCCTTTGCATGGTCTGCAGTCCATCCTGCACCAAGACCTGCCTTGCAAACGCAACCACCCAGCCCTTCCTGGGTTTGTTTGGCAAGATGTATAACACACAAAACATACACCTAGGCTGGAGGTGCAAATTTTACACTGACAACCTCCAATACTACACGAAATGCAGCCCAGGACGTGGCACCAGCAGAGCTCAGCAGCTTGGAGCAGCTCCATGGGCTGTAGGAACCCTCATTCCAACCACCCATCAGGAGCCCCTGACTGCAGGCAGCCCTCAGCAGCACCCACAGTCTCTGCGAGCATCGGAGACCCAAAGCTCCTTGAGAGCTTTAAGGAATATTCTCAGGAAGCTCTTTTCCATCACCCAGCTCAGGCAGGCTGCCTTTATTCCTGAAAGCTCAATTCTTGGGGAAAAAAAAAGAAACCAAGAATGAAGAAACCCTCCTGTCCCTCACAGCTCTCCCATTGGTGCTGCTGCTGCAGCATTTCCACAGCCAGACAGCACGCCCTGCTTGTTCCTCCCTCCCTGCATGGATGGGGGTCAGACGAGGCAGCTGTGATGCTGTTTAACGGGTGAGTGAAGCAAACATCTCCACAGACTACATCCAGCACTGGAAACCAGTGGCACAGGGAAATTCAGGATCAGAGCTCTCTATCGTTTCAGAATTCACTCCTCCCTGTCCTGGAATCAGCTGGGGGTCCCAGTGCTACCCCCTGTGAACCCCCCACCACCTTCCTGGCTTAGCCCACCTGGCCTATCCCCATCCTCCCACGATGGGAGGATCACCATGATGGAAGCACTGACAAGCTCTTCCCAGCTGGGACATCTCCTCCCGCTCACTCCTATGAGCAACCCAGGGCCTTCCCCTCCTGTCCTATTTTTCCTCCCCTGCTTTCTAGGTGGGAAATCCTCACCCAGTGCTTTGCTGAATCCACTGCTGCATGCAGATCCCACCAAGGAGATGCTTGCCCTGCCGTGCTGCCATGGCCACACCACTCAGACTGCTCATCATCGTAATCCCCCCGCAGCTGCTGATCTGATTTGTTTGAGAATTGCATTTGCTGCTCGGTATTATTCCTTCTTCATTTATATTTGCCCAGAGACAGCATGAGTGGTTTGTTGTTGTTGTTTTTAGAAAACAAAATGCAAAGATTATTAAATAGATCCATTTATCCTCCTTTTTCTCCCAAACAAGATTGAGAACTGCTCTGCCCAGCTACAGCCCTGACCCCCCTGTCTCTAAAGGATGCTGTCTGAACTCTACTTTCTGAGCATGTGCAACCAGAGCTCTCTTGTGTTTCAGATCACAAAGTTTGCTTCCTTATCCCATATGGATGCACTCTGAATGCAGAGATGTGTGGATCGGAGATGGCCCTGCTCTGCTGAGCTCACCCTGAGCCCTGGCTGCTTGCAGCTGCTGAGAGGCAGCGTGGTTTGTTTTGGTGGCCAGGTTTCCCCAGCCCCCAGTTACTTGGGATAGTTCCCTGTCCTAACTCACAGGAACACAGCACTGCAGAAATCACAGCATTGTAAAATCCTATACTTAGCCCACGTTCCAGCTTAGGGTCAGTGCTGGGCTCCCGCTGGCACCCATTCAAACCTCAGCCTAAGCTGTCTTGCTTTCACTGCTATTTAATTCAGATTGGGCAAATACAGTTAAGAGCACATCCCTTTTCTTCCTGCTGGGAGATGCTGTGCACGCTGAGCCCCAAGCAGAGCCCATGTCAGAGAGTGACACGTGTCAGCAGCAGGTGACACAGCCGTACATGGGCTGACAGCAGGGACAGCCACAGGGCAGGGTTTGGGCAGCTCCAGCACAGCAGAAGGGGAGGGCACTTAGCAAGCAGAGGGAACAGCACAGGGGGAGCACGTGAAGGGCCCACGCCATGGTTTTGGGTTAAGGCCACTGTCCCATGACCTAAGAAAGGTCCCTGCCATGAGCTTAAGCAGTTCTCACTGTGCTGGTGCTGCACCTCGAGCCCCAGCAGGGTGCTGGAAAAGAGAACAATAGGGCTGCTCTGACAGCAAAACCATCACAGGGGCTCTCAGGCACTTCTGCATTATCAGGGTGTTGCAGTTAATTGTCGTTCGAAGCAGAGCGTGAATGATTGCAAAGATTTTTCCTGATTAAAAAAGTTCTCCGTGGTGGGGATTGAACACAGCTCTGAGAACACTCTCCCAGCAACAGCTTTATTTAAAGCCCATGCCTGGCTCCTGGCAGCAATACTTTCAGCTTTACATCAAACCATCAGTCCATTTCACCTTTGCCAGCTAGGAGAACCTAATAAAAAACTCTAATTACTGCGACGCTCCTTACAGCTATTAGCGGTCTCTTAGTTTCCCCTCCGTGAAGCTGAATGATCCAAAAAGACTCAGACACTGTCAGTGCTGTGAGTGCCAAGTGCTGATCCCAAAACACAAGCTCTGATCCCTAAACCCAGGACCTGGTGGCCAAGAGGCCACCAAGTAACCATAAAGCATGGGGACACAGTGACTCTTCTCTCTGCAGGACCCAGGCAAGTGAGCACAGCATCCAGATGCCCTCCAGCAGGTGCTGCCAGCTGCTCCTGCAGGAATGCCCCAGGAGGCAGCCTCCTCCTCAATGACCTGTGGCTGGGGAGGTGGGTTCCCTGTTCAAGTCTTTTCTCACCCTGATGGTACTCATGGAAGATGAAAAGTAAATGCTTCTCCTTTTTTTTGACATTATGCACAAACGGGTGAAATCTCAGCCACAGTTTTGAAAGCTGCACCTGACCTCAAGGGCCCTTCCTATGAGACTCCTGACTCCTGAGATCTAATTCTATTTCCCTTAGTCCCCCTCTGCCCAATTGCCCAGTGCCAGTGGGACGGCCTCTCACCCAAACAAAGCAACACATCACTTCCCAAGGAATGCAGGAAGGGCTCCAACTCCCCAAAATTGGAGCTGGGTCCAGAGATCTCAGCCTCAGCCCAACTCCAGAACAGAAAACACACAACACAGCACTCAGTGAGGGACCTGCTGCTGCTGAGACCCATTGGATGGGCTGGAACACACTCCTCCAGAGGGGCCTTTGGGGACAGCCACCACCCACACAACCTCTGACTGCCATGGGGTGCTCATGGCAAAGCAGATAGAGGGACTCACAGCAGCCCCCAGTGGCATCCAAGCAGGGGGAGGAACCACAATACTGCACTCAGAACCTACATAAATCTCAACCAAGCGCTCAGAATCTGCTTTAGATAACAACGCCATGTGAAGCATATTCCCCAATCCTTTAACCCTTTCACAGCTCCATTGCTCTCTCCAGTTCCTAACTGTCCCACCAGACACCAAAGCTGTTTGCGAAGAGCTCTCCAATCATCATCACACAGATCTGGCACAGAAACACCCCTGGTTCTGGCTCTGTGGCAGCTCTACCCAGAACAGGGAAACTCCATCCACAGAGCTTCCACCACCAGGACTTCCCACACTGGGAGCAACATGTAAAGGAACAAAGCCTTCACCACATCCATACACAGAGAAAGGAGCACTCACCCACTTGTTCCAGGTCTCTGGGTCTGAGAGAAGCGCCAGTCCGGGTTAGGCTGAGCTTGCTGCAGAGGAAATACAAAAAGAGTTTTAATACCTCCATTCTCACCTGCAAACCAATCCTGGATTATTTCAGCCTGGGATATCGGTGTATTCTTTCCAAGTGAAGCAGATCTATTAGAACAATAGGGAAAAAAAAGCTCCCCCACCCCCACTCCTTCCCTTTCTTCTGAGTATTTCTGGACCAGCATGAATACCAAAAAGCGTGACAAAAACCATTCAGTGAATAATCTTCCAAAGCAGCTCAGGAAACCAGGCTGTGAAAGAAATGAAGCATGAAATAAACTGATAAGGGCATTGCTCCAGCAGGAGAGATGGCACTGAAGGAATGAGCTGGGGGGGGTGGGGGTGGCACTGTTAATTGATACCGAGAAAGATGCTTTCAGTAGGAGGTAAGGTGGTGACAGAGCTTCCTAACCTGTCCTTCTGCCCTTAGCAAGGTCTGCCTGAGCCTGCGTGTCACACTTGGTGTTTGAATGACTTTCCTAGACGCTGTGGTCACAGTGCATTACAATGTTTTTCTGTTTGCAGAAGAAAGAATGAACGTCCGACGGCGGAGAGGAAAGAAAGAAAAGCATTCTTTGTTCAGGAAGCACAGCAAACTTCAGACCCAGCAGCACGCTTAGCAGACCTCGTGTTGCTTTCTGCCCCTGCCGTTTCCCTGTCAGACAACGGGCATTCTGTAGCTGAGGATGGATGCAGAGCAGGCTGTGTGCATCGCGCCTTTGTGCACAGCATACACAGCCGAGCTGTCTGCAAGGAGCACAACTTCCGAATGTCACAAGCTCTTAATTAACTCTGAAATGATGACATGCTACCTGGGAAGGACGATGTTTCTCCTGGTTACCTCAGGAAGGAGCAGCTCCTGGTCTGCACCACGGAACACCAGCTTTATAGGATTATTCTGCTTGTACTTGCAATTACTAAGGCAAAGGGAAACGGGTACAGCTGACCTAGATTTTTATTTAGCAGCTGTGATTTGACTAATTTCACCACAGCTTTGATGATTCTCATGAAGGAATACATTAGAATAAATTACTGAGTCCCCTTAGAATAAGAGCTCCACTCCACTCCTGCTGCATACAAATCGCACCACTTGCACACTCACCCTCCAGACTGCAGATCCACATAGCTTTGCACACACACTGCCACACGACTGCCCATCAGATAAGCCCGTCCCAGTCTATTTTTTCCAATCCCTATTGCAATTACCACTTTCAAATTTAGGGCAGGCATTTATGACACAAAGTGACTTTACTTTTTATATCCCGAAGTTAAAAAAGCTGCAGTTAAATGCAGCCACTTCCATCTGGGTTTGGATATCCCAAGGCAAGTGGCTGAAGTTTTCACAGCACGCCCGCCGCTCAGGTCTCTGCGAGCCCAAGGGCACGTAAGGTTAGCAAGATCTTTGCAGAAACGCACTACTTTCAGCGCTGAAAAGAGAATTCAGCCTCTTGCTCAGAACTACCAAGCTAGAAAGCAGTCCTTTGCCATGGCACAATCAGAAATTAATAATACCTGAGAGGCAAAGAGTGAGAAAAATCCCAATATGTTCCTAAAACAGAGCAAAAGAAGCACCCAGGTGACCTGGCTTTGAGGTCTTCTCCTCCTCTCTTTCCATACAGCATAAAGGGGTTAAACAAGAAGTTTAACACCCCAAACCCCATGTTCCCACTGCAAGAATCACTTCAGAAAGCCCGGACGGGGCCAAGAGGAAGCTTCCAGCTCCACAAACACGCACGCTTTTGTTGTATGCTGACGGCCATCCCATTCCCCACCTCCACCCGGCACAGCCAACCCCCTTCCCTGCCACCTCCTGAGGGAGATCATCACCAAAATCCCCCACAGCCACTTCACGCAGCAGCAGTGAGAACCCCCATCTCTTACCCCATCGCAGGGACTCGCTACAGTGCTGGCCACCTGCTCGTAGGCAGCCACGGTCTCCGCAGTGCTGGAGTGGCTGAAGGGTTTTACAAAGAGGAAATCACTCTGCTCAGACATTGGGGAGAAACAGGAGGTGTAATTCTGTGCCTGGGAGCCCAGCCCCGCTTTGCCCACATCCAGGTATTTAATGAAGCCATCTGGCCTCAGCTGCCCATGGAGATGGGAGGTGGGCTTGCGGGCAGACCCCCGGCAGCAGCCCACGAGAGCCCAGCCAGCAGAGCCCACTCTGAGACAGCGGGCAACCGCCACGGCGAACACCACACACGACACGAGGGAAATGGACACCAAAGAGATGATGAGGTACAGCGTTAAGTTGTTGTCCTTGGGAGATGATTGAGGCAAGTCGGAGGACTTGGCAAAGTCCTGCACGCCATCTTCCTCTGGAGAAATGACAATCACCACCGAGGCCGAGAGGGACGGCGTCCCGTTGTCGTGCACCAGGACCACCAGGCGGTGGGGAGACGGCGACTCGCCCAGAGCCGCTGCAACACGCACCTCCCCGGTGCGATGTTCCACCTGGAAGGGCAGAGCCTCAGCCGTATCCTCCAGCTGATAGGACAGCCAGGCATTATGGCCGCTATCGGCATCCACAGCCACGATTTTGGTGACTAGGTAGCCAGGTTCTACCAAGGGTGGGATGGTTTGGTGGAAGGCAGACCCTGTAGGGATGGATGGGTAGACGATGGTGGGGGCATTGTCGTTCTGATCCATGACAAAGACGTGGACAACTGCAGTGCTGCTCAGGGCAGGAGAGCCAGAGTCCTTCACCTCCACGGGCACCTGGAACACCTTGTCCTGCTCATAGTCCAGAGCCCTCACAGTGTAGATGGTGCCGTTGTCTGGGTCTACGCGGAAGTAAGTTGAGATGGGTATGTCCTGCATCCCATTGTCCAGGATGGAGTAAGTCAGCTTGGCGTTACTACCCTCATCGGGATCAGATGCAGACACTGAAAAGACAGAAGTTCCAGGGAGAGAGTTTTCCAGCACGTGAGCTGTATCAAAAGGGGTGGAGAAGTTCGGTGCGTTATCATTGACGTCGGCGATTTGGAGATAGAAAGTTTTTTGTGTGGCCCTTGGTGGTGATCCCGAATCCGTAGCCCTCACAGTGATGTTGTACCCACTGGCCTTCTCCCGATCGAGGGGACCGTTTGTGACCAGTGAGAAGTGCTCTTTGAAAGATGACACCAGCTTAAATGGGAGCTCTTTGGCTATCTGCAGATGGACATGCCCGTTGTCCCCAGAATCGCTGTCCTTTACTCCAATGAGGGCAATCACCGTTCCTGGGGTCGCATCCTCCAGCACAGGGCTGGAGAGAGAAGTCAGCACGATCTCAGGGCTGTTATCATTGATATCAATTAATTCCACCCGCAGATGACAGTGTCCTTCCATGGCTGGGGATCCTTTGTCCCGGGCTCGGACTGCAATTTCATAAGCACTGGATTCCTCATAATCCAAAGGGGCTTTGGTTCTGATCTCCCCCGTCCGGGAATCTAAACTGAACAGCTTAGTGAATTTACCAGGTGCATTATTGCTAGTTTTGAAAGAATACTCCACGTCCCCATTGGGGCCTTCATCCAGGTCGGTGACATTCAGCTTGGTGACCAGAGTGCCCACTGGCACGTTCTCCTCCAGATTCACCTTGGATACAGGTGGGTCACAAACAGGAGGGTTGTCGTTTGCATCCAGGACATGGATGGTGACCTTGGCAGTGCCAGATTTCACTGGATTCCCTCCGTCCAGTGCTGTTAGGATTAGGTGATGAACAGCCAATTTCTCTCTATCCAGCGCTTTTTTGAGAACGATCTCAGGCATTTTGACCCCATCTCCTCTCACGTTGATGCTCAGGCCAAAATGCTCACTGGGGCTGAGCTCATAGGTGGAGATGGAATTGGAGCCCATATCTGGGTCTTCTGCCACCTCCAACGGCAGCCGAGTCCCGGGGTTGGCCACCTCTGTGATCTCCAAGACCACCTCCGGCTTGGGGAACTGCGGCGCGTTGTCGTTCACGTCGAGGACGTCCACCTCGACACGGTGGAGTTGGAGGGGGTTCTCCATGACGAGCTGGAGGTGCAGAGAGCAGGCGGGGCTCTGCCCGCACAATGCCTCGCGGTCCAGCCTCCTGTCGAGGAGCAGCACACCTGCTGCCAGGTCCACCTGGAAGTGCCGCTGCTCAGACTCGCTCACCAGGCGCAGGTTGCGGGCTGCCAGGCTCCGCACCTCCACTCCCAAATCCTTGGCCACGTCGCCCACCGGAGTGCCCGGCTCCCGGTCCTCGGGTATGGAGTAACGGAGCTGGGCGCTGCCGGGCGGCTGCAGGCTGGAAAGGGCTGCGAGTAGCAGCGGGAGCTGCCACGGTGAAGCCCGGTCCTTCAGCATGCCGAGCCGGCTGTGCGAACGGAGAGGAAGCGGCTCCCAGCGGCTCCCCCCGCCGCCCGCCCCGGAGCCGCCGCCGCCGCCGCCGTACCGAGAGCCCCGTGCCCCGATCCGAGCGCGCCGCGTCGGGACGAAGCTGCCGCCGGAGCCACGGGAACGGGACCGGGAGGGAAGAACGAAGGAGGGAGGGGGGGGGGGGAGGGGGGGGGGGGGGGGGGGGGCAGCTCGGCCGAGCGGCTCCCCGGCACACCGAAAGCGCACAAAGTCAGCGAGCGAAGGGGATGGACCGAGTGACAATTCTACGTCTCTCAACAGCCCCCTCCTCCTCCTCCTCCTCCTCCTCCTCCTCTTCCTCCTCCCTCCTCTCTGCCTCCTCCACCGCCTTCCTCAAAATACGCACGGCGCAGGCCCCCCCCCCCCCCCTCCAGCAGCCGCCACTCCGCCTCCGCAGCGCCGGGCGGGCGCCGGGGATCCCCGACACCGGGAACCGGGGACTCCCGGCAGCGGCGGGCGGGCTCCGGCCTGCACCCCCTCCCCTAAGGCGGCCGGGGACCGGGATCTCCCGCTCCCGAGCTCACCTCGCTGGGCGCCGACGGTTTCACACCGGCTGTGCCCACGGAGGGTTTCACAAACATGAATTCGCTGATGTCAGAGACGGGTGAAAAGCAGGAGCGGTAGCGCGGGGCTGGGGGAGCCGTGGCCGTCACCTGGACGCCCATCACCGTGTCCCCTTGCTTGGGCTCATAGTGCAAGTGCCCAAAGATGTGGCTGGGCGGGGGCTGAAGCGTGTCCACGCTCTTCACGCTGCAGCCCTGGACAGCAGGCACGGAGCCCCGCCGTATGCACCGCACACCCAGCACTGCCAGTCCCACCAGCGAGACGCTGGAGATGAGCACCAGAGAAGCAATCAGATAAATGGTGATGGTGGGCAAGCCCCCACCGTCTGCAGCCTGAGCCTCGGAGCCTAACAGGGCCTCGGGGCCCCTCTCCTCCACCAACACGACCAGCGTGACGGCTGTGGAAAGCGGTGGCTCCCCGGCATCCCGCACCACCACCACCAGTTCATGTGCAGAAGCATCCGACTCCTGCAGGGCCCGGGTGGTGCGGATCTCCCCGGAGCGTAGGGCCACGCTGAAAAGTCCCGGCTCGGTGGCTTCCATGAGATGGTAGGAGAGCCAGGCGTTGCGCCCCGAGTCCGCGTCTATGGCCACCACCTTGGTGATGAGAGCAAGAGGGGCGGTGGAGGGGGAGATGCGTAACTGGGTGGCGGAATCCTCCCCAGCCCTGGGAAAATGCACCCGCGGGGCATTGTCGTTTTGGTCTGCAATGAACACATGAACCAGCGTCCTGTTCCTCAGGGCTGGGGAGCCACCGTCAGAGACCTCTACATGGAACTGGAGATAGGTGGTTTGCTCATAGTCAAAGGGGAGTTTGGCGGAGATCTGGCCACTTGTAGGGTGTATGGAGAGGTAGCGAGTCGGATCCAGGCCTGGCTCTGTCCCACCAGCTTGCAGGATGGAGTAGGAGAGGCGGGAGTTCTGCTCTGAGTCTGGGTCGACCGCAGAGACAGTAACCAGCACGCTGCCCACCGGGTTGTTTTCTGCCACCAGCACCTCATAGGACGCTTGCTCAAAATGGGGCGCGTTGTCATTGACATCCACCAGGGTGATGGGCAGGATGGTGTGGCGGGAGAGTGGAGGGCTGCCCAGATCTGAGGCCGAGATGGTGACATTGTAGTAGGCAACATGCTCCCGGTCCAAGCGGGTTCTCGTGAGCAGCGAGTACTGGTGCTCGTAGTCTTTGCGCAGCTGGAAGGGAAGGTCTGGAGACACATGACATTGGACCTTGCCCTGGTCCCCAGAATCCTTGTCCTTGACATGTATGACGGCCACCACCGTGCCCGGCAGCGCATCCTCACTCAGGGAACTGGAGAAGGAGGTCAGAATGACCTCAGGAGCATTGTCATTCACATCAGTGACCTCCACCACCACGCTGCAGTGCTCCTCCATCGTGGGCGATCCCATGTCCTTGGCCTCCACTTCAATCTCATACACCGTCGCCTCCTCAAAGTCCAAGTTGCCCCGCACACGGATCTCTCCAGTTTGCTCATCAATGGCAAAGATCTGGCGTAAGGCATCCGAGTTGTGGCTGCTGAGGGAGTAGCGGATGTCCCCGTTGGGCCCTTCATCCACATCGGTGGCATTTAGCTTCACTACAAGGGTGCCAAGCGGTGAGTTCTCCACCAAGCGAGCTCCATAAGACGGTCTGTCAAAGACTGGGTGGTTGTCATTGGCATCAAGAACCTGAATAGTGATGTGCGTCTTGCTGGACTTGGGGGGCGAGCCCCCATCCTCAGCAGTCAGGACGAGGTGGTGGAAGGCTCTGTGTTCTCGGTCCAGGGCCCTCTCCAGCACCAACTCAGGGAACTTCCCACCATCCGTGCGTGCCTTCACGTTGAGGTTGAAGTTCTCGTTGGCACTCAGGTGATAGGTCTGCAGGGTGTTGGTGCCCACATCAGGGTCCTGGGCAGGCTGGATGGGGAAGCGGGCACCCAGGGATGCCAGCTCGTAGATGCGCAAGGACACCTCGTCACTGGGGAACTCCGGGGAGTTATCATTGATATCCAGGATCTCCACCTCGATGCGGTAAAACTCCACCGGGTTCTCGATGGCAAGTTTCAGGTGGAGGAAGCAGCGGGGGTTCTGCCCACAGAGCTGCTCCCGGTCTATCCGCTCGCTCACCATTATCACCCCAGTGTTCACATTGACGGAGAAGTACTGCGAATCCGAATCGGACAGTACCTGCAGATTGGCCGCCGCCAGTTTCCCCACATCGGTGCCCAGGTCCTTCGCAATATTGCCCACGAAGGCGCCCCGGGTGAGCTCCTCCGGGATGCTGTAGCGAATCTGGGCAGAGGAGCTATGCAGGAACAAGCAGAAGGAGAAGACACGCGGCAGCCCCAGGGACCAGCCCGCCTTTCCTGCCCTCAGCATCCTTGCCGGCGCCCGGGGAGCGATGCCCTCGGAGGAGGCCGCCCGCGCTGCGGGGCCGCGCTCAGCGCTCACCGCTCCCATTCATTGTTTGGGGCGGCCGCGGCTCGACGGGGGGGGCGCGGCGCAGCCGCCCCTCCATTGGCTCCGTGCGCCGCGCCGCTCATCCAATCGCCGCTCTTCTTCTCAGGACAGCAACACCGGCACCAATCGCGGCGCTCGATGGTTGCGGCGCGGCGCGAACCTGCCGCGCTGCCCCGAGCGACGGTGGGCCCGCGCAGCCCCCCTCCCCCACACCCCCACCCCGAGCCCCCCACGTCGAGCCCGGAGGACAAAGGCGGCCCCCCCGGCCCTCAGCGCCCCGCGGGGGGAGGAACCGGGGGTCGGCACCGTGCGGCCCCGGCCCGGCCCCGCCTTCCCCCGGCGCTCACCTGGCCGGCGTCCCGCAGGGTACCGGCGGCGGAGAGGAAAGCCCCGGGTTCCCTCGGGAGGGTGCCGGGGGGCGGGCAGGGACGCAGGAAGGTGAAGTCGCTGCGGTCGGAGTCGGGAGAGAAGCAGGTGCTGTAACACTGGGACTGGGCGTCGGTGGGCCGCAGGGTGACCTCCATGTACTTAAGGGTGCCGTCGGAACAGAGCTGCAGCTTGGGGCTGGAATGATTGAAGAAGTCCCGGGACGGCGATTCGGCAGCCCAGCAGCAGCGGGGAGAAGCGGCAGCACGGGCTCGGCGCCGCAGGCACCAGGCAGCAAGGAGGGTGACAGTAGCGAGTGCCACCGTGCTGACAGCTGCCAGTGCGATGATCAGGTAGAGGGTCAGGTCCGGCTTCTCCTTGGTACCGGCCAGGAAATCCCGGGGCTTGTAGCTCTCCTCCAAAGCCTCCTCCTCCAGGGCCACGCTGATGGTGACGGTGGTGGAGAGCGGTGGGTCACCATTGTCTGCCACCAGAATGAGGAGTTGCTGCACCGCCACATCGGTGTCCCGCAGGACACGGGCCGTCCGCACCTCCCCTGTGTACTGTGACACATGGAACAAGGAGGGCTCGGTGGACTCTGGCAGCAGGCGGTACGACAGCCAGGCATTGTACCCAGCATCTGCATCCACTGCTGTCACCTTGGTCACCAGGTAGCCCGGTGGGGCAGACAGCGGGACCCTCTCCGGTGTGGGGACATCACCATCACCAGCAGGGTGCAGGATGGTAGGGGAGTGGTCGTTCTGGTCCAGCACAAAAATGTAGACAGTGACACTGGCGTTGAGCGGGGGAGATCCCGAATCCCTCACAGCCACCGAGATGGGTAGAACCTGCAGGAGCTCAAAGTCAAAGGTGCGCTGAGCATAGAGGTTGCCGTTGTTGGGGTTGATGTGGACGTAGGAAGAAGCAGGAGCACCCTGCACGTGGCCCTCTATGGAATAAACAAGAAGGGAATTGTCTCCGTCATCGGGGTCTGAAGCTGAGACGGTGCAGAGCAAGGAGCCCGGCGGGCTGTTCTCTGGGAGGAAAGCATCATAGGAAGGCTGCAGGAAGCATGGTGGGTTGTCGTTGACGTCGGATACATTGAGGAGCAGTGTGAGGCTCGTGATGAGAGCAGGGGACCCACCATCCTGGGCGATCAGCTGCACCACGTACTGCGAGGTGGTCTCTCTATCCAGGCTCTGCCGGGTGACCAGTGAGAAGTGGTTCTGCAAGGACCTGACAGCGAACGGCACGCTGGGGGAGATTTCCAAGCTCACATCCCCATTGGGCCCCGAGTCTCGGTCCCGCACGTTGAAAAGCCCCACGACAGTCTCTGGTGGGGTGTCTTCAGGCACTGGATTCAGCAGGGAGGTGAGCAGAACCTCTGGGGGGTTGTCATTGGCATCCTCCACCTCCACCTGCAGCACGCAGTGCCCCTCCATCTCAGGCACACCCCTATCGCGGGCCCACACGTGGATCTCGTAGAAGGGCGATTCCTCAAAGTCCAGCTCCCCGCTCACCCGCACCTCACCGCTTTGGGGGTCCAGCGCAAAGAGTCGCCGGACGGCCTCGGAGGTGTGCACCCCAAAAGAGTACTGCGTTTCCCCATTGGGGCCCTCGTCGGGATCTGACGCGTTGAGCTGGAGGAGCAGAGCTCCCACAGGTGTGTTTTCTGGGATTTGCACCTTGTACGTGGCACGGTCAAAGGCGGGTGCGTTGTCATTGATGTCCAGCACCTGCACCGTTATCTCTGCTGTGCCCGAGCGGGCCGGGCTGCCCCCATCCACGGCTGTCAGCACCAGCTGCAGTTCTGGCCGCTCTTCCCGGTCCAAGGCGCGCTCCAGCACCAGCTCCGGGAAGAGTTTGCCATCCTGCAGCTGCTTGACGTCCAAAGAGAAATGGGAGTTGGGGTTCAGCCGGTAGGAACCCACAGCGTTGGTGCCCACATCGGGGTCCTGCGCGCTCTCCAAGGGGAAGCGCGTGGCCACGGCGGCGGACTCTGCGATGCGCAGGCTGCGGCGGGCTGTGGGGAAGCTGGGGGAGTTGTCGTTCAGATCCAGGATCTCCACTTCGAGGCGAAAGAGCTGCAGGGGGTTCTCTGCCACCACCTGCACTGACAGCACGCAGCTGGAGGCGGCTCCGCACAGGCGCTCCCGGTCCAGCCGCTCGCTCACCACCAGGACACCGCTGTCCAGGCGCACGGCGAAGTGCTGCCGGCTCTCCTCCGAGCCCAGGCGCAGCCTGCGGCCCGCCAGCTGCTCCACCTTCAAGCCCAGGTCCTGGGCCACGTTCCCCACCGCGGTCCCCACCTCCGACTCCTCGAGCACCGAGTAGCGGATCTGCCCAGAGACCCAGCCCCAGCCACAGAGCGAAAACAAACTCAGTACTTGCCATTTCCAGGCGGGTCGCTGGTGGCTGATGCTCTCCATGTCCACACACATCTGGCCCAAGACCGGACCCGGGACACAGCCGGCCTTGCGGAGCCGCTAAAAATCCCCGGCTCTCTGTTCCCCAGCTCGGGGAAGCAGCTCCGGGGCTGTAGGAGGCTGCAGCTCGGCTGCCAGCATCCGAGCGGAGGGGGTGGGCTGGGGGAGGGGAGCTGAATCACAGCCCCAGCGCGGGGGGGGGGTGGGGGAAGAGCAGATCCCCCGCTTCAGATCAGCACCCAATTGGCCGAGAGCTCTGTCCCCGTGCACCCAATGGGGGACCCGGGGGGCTGCCGGAAGTGGGGGCCCACCACCCCCGGGCCCAGCCTGTTTCACTTGCTCCCTCAGCTCGCTTCCCGTTCTCTGGGAAACTGCACGTCCTGCAAGCCGGCGAGGTACAAACCCTCCCTGTTCACTCCCGCTCCCACAATGGTGGCTTCACATCGTGCCCGCACACAAAGGGCAGCTTTAACGAGCACGGGCCAAAGGGCTTTTTCATGCCCTATGAAAAAGTGCTTGTTTGAGGACCAAGGTGCCAGGGCTGCCCTCCCCTATCCTATCTCCCCCCTTGGTTAATGCTGTGCCCATCTGATGCCTGCACCTCGGGACCAACCCCGTGGGGCTGCCACTGGTGCCACTATCAGCCGGGAAGGCCCACACCAAGAGCTGCCAACACCATGGGTGCCATGGGGAGGGCTTCCTGAGCCGCCAGAGCCAGCAGCCAACTGTTTGCCACGGCCACCTGCTTGGGCACCTCATCCCCATCTGGCACAGGTGAAGCTCAGCAGCACCCATGAGCCCACAGGTCAGAATGGGACCACAGCATCGGGCATTATGCAGGGAAGGATGCCAAGGAGATGCACACGTTGCAGCAGGCACAGCTTTGCAGCAGCCTCAGCCTCTACTGCGGGGTGCACTCGGGGCACATAGACCTCCCTACGTGCCCCCAGGCCCTGGGGGGGGGAGGGGAAGGGGGCAGCTTCGGCCCTGCCGGTCTCCTCCATCCGGGCACCCAGTGGACCTCAGGGACAGGGGAGAGGATGGAGACGGTGCCCGGAATCGCCGCCGTCAAGGAAGGCTCGACTCGGCTCTGCCGCGGTCCGTGCCCCCGTCCCCTCCTCAGCCCCTCCCGGCCCATTTCCAGTGCTACGGGCGGCACCGCTCTGCTGCCAATCAATCCGAGACTGCGCTGTCGCAGCTCGTGATTGGTGCAGAGCTCCGCCCACGTCCCGCCTACTGCTCTCTCAGAGAGGGGAGAAGCGCTCTTAAAGGGCCAGATCACGAAAAAGCCTTGCGGGTAAATTCCTCGGCTGCAGCCCGGTGGGACTTAATGCGCCCCGGGGGCTTCCGACGGTGCCACTCGCCGTCACCCTGTCTCCGCGAAGTGTCGCAGCAGCGTCACGGAGGGACAGACAGTGCCACACGGGGCCCTGCTCCTACAGAAACGGGTCCGGTGAAGCCCCTCCTTACGAGAGAATTTGCTCATAGATGTCCAGGTGGTGGGAGCAAGCAGCAAGCATCTGGCATGGGGGATCTGCCAGGGTTTGGGATGGGGACACAGAGGGGTCACAACAGGGCAGGGACCCGGCATGGCACGAGACACGACCTGCACAGCCAGCCAGCATGCATGCGGGGAGGGACCAGCAGCACCATCCCCCCTGCATCAGGCTGAGGCTGGCTGCTGCCCTGCAGATGTAAAACCTCTGTGGGCTTGACACAGTCTGCAGCACTGAGCTCTACCTTTCACCACAAAGACTGAAAATCCACCAGTCGATGCTGCTTTCACACAGCCCTGGGGGGCTGAGGGAGGATGTGTAGAGCTCGGGTATACCACCTGCCTGTTATCATTGCCTTCCATCCCCAGGCTCAAACCACTCACTGCTCCCCCAGCACCTCCAGCCCCCTGCCATCCCCAAGGCTTCTTGCCAGCCTTCTTTGGGGGGACATTTCTGTCCCCAGCTGTAACAAAACCTGCACAAAGGCGCAGAAACACTTGCTGCAGCAGCTGCCGCAGCCGTTCCTGCCTGCTGCAGGTGAGAAATGCTGAGTATGAGAAGCGACGAGAGACAGGAAAAAAAATAAATAAATAAATAAAGAACATAAAATAGCTCTGGGAGATTCAGTGCTTCTGCCTGTGATTCAGCTGCAGTGCGAAGCTGCACACAGAGCCCTGTGTCTGTGCACGGCTTCCGCTGCATCACACTCCCTTCCGCCCCAAGCAACCAGCCGATCCCATTCACACCTCTCAGAGGGGACACAATACCGGCACCGAGCATCTTGGAAACCCACCAGATTCCCCTTTCTGTTGGATCCACCACCCAGCCTCACCTCTGAGGACTGCAGTGTTCCTGTAATTGAAAGCTTGCAAATTATGCTGCACGATTCCCACCAGGGATGAAGCACAGGAGCAGCCTGGCATGCGCAAACGTGTTCCTGCCTGCAATTTATTCAGCCAGGATGTTAGACAGCACCATGAGACAGCATATTACAAATCTTGTAGGGTTTGTGATAGGGATGGTAATAGAAGACATGGGCGGTGGGCTCAGCATCCAGCACCCAGCTCAGAGGAACCCTGAGGGCAGCCTGTGACCCCACCAAACGGACCTGAGAGGAGCATCTTCACAGAACTTAAATGGGAATAAAACCAGAGCCATCAGGAATCAAACACCAAGTGAGACGAAGAGAGAAGAGATTGCTCTACAGCCACGGGCCAGGACCAGCATCACCTCTCAGCTATGCGTGATACGGTAGGATGCAATGCACTGCTGCCCCACCAGCAGCCAGTGGCTCCCAGCCCACTTCGCTTGTCCCATACTGGGACACGTTGCAGAGGGATCACAGCTCCAACCTGCACCTGCAAGCGCTCTGTTTTCATTTTGCAAAGGGAAGGAAACTCCACAAGCAGCAGTGTTCCTACTGAAGATTTTTAAGTGGTTGCCAGCTGATCTCAGCCTCCACTGGCTAAGCAATGCAAGGCGTACCCGAAACTGCATCCAAAAGACACAGGTCTACTGCTGGGAGTAAACAGACCAACCTGACCCTGCTCATCACAGTGCAAATGTCATCGGCGCACAGGATGGCTCCTTTGACTTGGAAGAAACCAACTGCTCTTTAACAACATGGCGCAACTGGATATTTCCCCCAACCTCAACCTGCTGCCATAGGCGTATGGCACAAAGGAGCCACGGATCAGCTTGGCACTGGGACATGCCAAGGAAGGGCTACATTACCTCAGCGGGCGTGGGGAGCCGGCTGGCGGTGCCCACCATCTGGTGGTACAGTCCTGGCTCACCATTCCTCATGGTGTTCTGGCGGCTCCCCAGAGGACTGGAAGTGATGGGTTTTTTACACAGGAGATCACTCTGCCGGGAGTCTGTGGTGAGATAGACCTGATGGTAGAAGTTGGGTGGTGTGAAACCACCCCGCACAGCATCAACGTGGTGGAAGGGCCCTGGTGTCCTGTACAGGGTGCTCCTGGAGCTGTTGAACAGCTCCTTTGACTGCCTCCACTTGTAGCACTTGAAGATGCCCACTGACACTATGGTGATGAAGAAAGCGGCCGAGACCAAAATGACGGCCAAGATGAGATAGAAAGTCATATGCCTCCTGGAGTCATGCGGGGGTGTCACATCGGTGAGGTCGGTGAGTGCTTCCTTGACCCTCTCGGCCACAGAGATGGAGACGGTGGCACTGGCTGACAGCGCGGGCTCCCCGTGGTCCTTCAGCAGGATGACCAAGGTGTGCTGGGGAGCCTCGTCCTCCCGGAGCTGACGGGCTGTGATGATCTCCCCACTGTGCAGCCCAACTGAGAAGAGAGTGGGATCGGTGGCCTGCAGCAGGGTGTAGGAGATCCAGGCGTTGTATCCTGCATCCGCATCCACCGCCACCACCTTGGTGACCACGTGGCCCACAGGAGTGCCCGGTGCCACCACGTCGGTGTAGGAGGATGTGGAGTTAGGGAGGGGGTACAGCACAGTGGGGGCATTGTCATTGAGGTCAGTGACAAACACATTGACCGACAGGTTGGTGGCAAGAGGCGGAGTGCCGCCGTCGTGGACCTGCACCATCATGCTGAACTCCATCTGGTCCTCATGGTCCAGGGAGGTCAGCAGATGGAGGGCACCACTCTCGCGGTTGATGGAGAAGAGGTGACCCACGGCGGTGTCCCCCTGCAGGAGGGAATAGGAGAGATGGCCGTTGCGCCCCAGGTCTGGGTCTGTGGCGCTCACGTTAAGAATGGAGATGCCTGGCACGTTGTTCTCTGGCACGTACACATCATAGGAGTCCTGTGAAGACTTGGGTGCATTGTCGTTGACGTCTGACACCTGTACCAGGATTTGTTTTACTGCAGACAAGGGCGGCGAACCTGAGTCCCTGGCTGTGACAGTGATGTTGTACTCTGATGCCTCTTCCCGGTCCAGAGCTGCTTTAGTTTTCAATGTGTAGTAATTTTTGAGGGAGGAACTGAGCGTGAATGGGATCCCAGGGGGAATAAAACAGTTCACCAGACCGTTGTCTCGAGAGTCCAAGTCTGTTACACTCAGCAGAGCTACGACTGTCCCCGGGGCTGCATCCTCAGGCACAGGGCTGTACACCGAAGTCACCGTCACCTCTGGAGCATTATCATTCACATCCACGACTTCCACCAGCACTTTGCAGTTGGCAACGCCAGGAACGGCACCCTTATCTTTAGCCTGTAAGTAAATCTCATACAGCTTTGTTTCCTCGTAGTCCAGCTGGCCCTTGACCCTCAGCTCCCCAGTATCCGAGTCCAGAGTGAAGAGCTCTCGTACCTTGGCTGGCGTGTGGCTGCTGAAGGAGTAGATGATGTCTCCATTGGGCCCATCATCCAGGTCATAGGCGCTCACCTTGGTGACCAGGGTGCCACTGGGCGTGTTCTCCCTCACGCTCGCCTTATAGGTGGACTGGTTGAAGACTGGAGCGTTGTCGTTGGAGTCCACCACGTCAATGTGGATCTGCACGTGGGCTGACCGTGGCGGGCTGCCTCCATCCAGCGCCGTCAAGACCAAGTGCAGCTCCCGTTGCTCCTCCCTGTCCAGTTCCTTCTCTAACACCAGTTCGGCGTACTTGCTTCCGTCCACCCTCGTCTGTACGTCCAGCACGAAGTGCGGGTTGGCGCTGAGCTGATAGGTCTGCAAAGAGTTAATTCCCACATCGGGATCTTGCGCGCTCTCTAGCGGGAAGCGCGTCCCGGCCGCCACCGACTCGCTGATTTCCAGCCTCGCCTGGCTGCTGGGAAAAACCGGGTCGTTGTCATTGATGTCCTGGATCTCCACGGCGCCGCTGTACAGCTCCAGAGGTTTCTCCAGCACGATCTCAAAGCTGAGGGTGCACGGGGAGAGCGCTCCGCACAGCTCCTCGCGGTCTATCCGCTCGCTCACCAGCAGCGAACCGCTCGCCGCATCCACCGCGAAGTACTTCTTGCTGCCGCCGGACACAACCCGCGGCCGCCGCCCCGACAGCCGCGCCGGGTCCAGCGCCAGGTCGGCTGCCACGTTGCCCACGGCCGATCCTCTCCGCGCCTCCTCGGGGATGGCATAGCGAATGGCGGCGGAAGCCCCGGAGGAAGCGGCGAGCAGGAGGCAGAGGCTCAGTACCTGCCCCGGCGTCACCCCGCGGCTCTTCGCAGCGACGCCTTTCATCGCTCCCCGCCTCTTCCCCCTAGAAATCCTCAGCTGGCCCCTTCATGCCGCTGCCCAGCGCTCCGGGAAGCGGCGTGCGGCGGGGAGACGGGCATCGCTCGGCGGCACGGCTCTGACTCACTGGCCGGCTCGCTCTCAGCCTCTCAGTGCCTCATCCCGGCTCCGAGCGGGGCCGGGCCGCCCGATCTCCCGCTCCAGCATTGGTCGACAGCGGCACATAGAGTCCCGGCCAATAACTGCACGGAGCGCAGGGCTCAGAGAGCTGCTGCCCGCCCGCCCCCGCGGGAGGCACGGCTCAGTGAGCGCTCATCCCGTCCCCACGCACGGGGAAAGTCCGGCGGTGCGAGTTAACGGAGCGGAAGCGGCCAGAAAGGGCGGCTGGGAAACAGAGGAGTGCGTCCCGAGAAAAAAAGTATCTCGTTGGAGACGGGCAGAAGAGCGAGAGGGGGCGGTGGAGGGGGCGGGACGAGGTGTGTGCGTGTAGGCAGAGTGAACAGCCCTCGGGACCCCGCGGATCCCGGTCATTCCAGCAGTCCGCTCCTTTCCTACTGTCCCACAGCGTCACGACGGCGCACCGCTGGGTGCCAGCAAAGCAGCGTCGCCGACCAAATGACAATCCAGGAGCAGCGCCCCGGCCCCTCTCCCCATCGCCACCACTGTCCCAGGGGGACAACCCGTAGCATTCTCAGCCGTGCACTCCCTCCCTCCTCGCCACCCTCCGTCTCGCCGCCCGTTCCCCCCGGACGCAGACAGCTCCCACCCCACCCCGGCCCTCGGAACAACCTTTCCCTGTCCCATGTGGAGCCCCCCGGCCGCCGGCACCGAGAGCAGCCGTTTCCCGAGCTCCCTGCCTGCTGTCATCACAACACCTCCTTATACTGAGATTTTTTTTCCGACGCTTCGAGCGCGCAAACGGATTCAAACTACTGCAGTGTTGGAAGGCTGTCACCCACGAAACTGGGATGAGAAAGCGAAAACAAAAAAGGAGCTTGAAACGGGAGCGTGAAAATCAGGCTGAGGCAGCTCCTCCCACAGCCGATAACGAACGGCCGGACTTGAAATTAGCGCCCACGCCCGTTCATTGATGGAAACTGCACGGATCCGGAGCAAATTGCTCCGAAGAGCTGAAGCTGATGGTCTGCCATCCCGCAGCTTAACGTGAGCGGCTGCAGATCGCCCTCACCAACGTGGGAGATGCGACACCCGGTGGGGATATCGCCTCTGGCTTCGCGTTCTCACCCCGCACCCTCCTATTAACCGCCGAGGCGCAGCCAGGAGCACGGAATGCAAGCAACATCAAACAGAGATCGGCTCAGTTTCCTACCTAAGAAGTCACTGTCAGGAATCGTTGTCACTGTATCACTACCAGCACGTGCTTATCACCAGCTCAAGAACGTGACAAAAGCACGCGCCTCAAGTCAATAAAATCCAATGCTATTCATCATTGCTTTAAAAGAACTGAATTCTGAAGCAGAATTCATGATGATTCCCAAGGAAAACGTCCTGCTTTACCCACTGCAGCTGCACCGCGCGCTTCAGTCCGAATGGTTTTGCTTCTCCGTGCTCCGGAGCGCCTCTACCTGCAGGCTCTGCAGGCTCACAGTGCTGAAAGCAGAGCTCTTGTTTCACGAGCCCTTACACGAGCAAATTCCAGTTACCTTTCCTTCTTACATATAATCCGAAGAGAAGAAAATCCACAGCCGTTCTGAAGCTAAACCTTGAAACGGTCTTCAACCGCTTCACTAATAAACTCCAAAATAAGCTCCAAATCTTTTTTTTTTTCCTCCAGCCACCACCTCTTTCCTAATACTCTCAAGTCTAAGCTCTTACTGAGCGATTTATCTAACATGCACATCACATTTTGTAAGAAGTTTAGTACATTTGAGCTAAATTCAAAGTGCCTGTTCCCAGCAGTAATCAGCTGAGTACAGCCGAGGTATGTCCCTACTCAAGAAGGGCACTGAAGATGCAACATTTCCATCTCCCACATTTTGTCTGATCTACAGACATTACATCAACTTCACCATGACAGAACACCAGGCTATTGACAGAGACATCCTCAGAGCTCCTGAAAGCACCACTTGGAAAGAAAAGGAGTGGCAAAATGTGGCACTGGAGAAGATAGTTCACCCATTGGGAATCCCAATTGGACCCCAGGACCTTTGTGCCATCGTTCCTTCTCAGTACCCCACCCCAGTGCCCAACTCGCTGAAACTCGCATACAGAGTAAGACAGCTCGAGTGAGGAAGGAGAGAAACAGCAGAAACCCGCAGAGAGGGACATGAGGGAGCAGCTCACCTGTGACGAGCTGTCAGGGTCGGGAGGGTCCTTTTCGGAGTGACCACCTGCACTGGCTTCCCCCGCCAAAAGAAGGTCAGAGAGGGCTGCTGCCCCGGGTTTGAGAAACGTGAAGTCCTTCTGGCCCGACTCGGAGGCCAGGCACACCTCGTAGGCATAGGGCAGGGGCAGCGTGCTGCTGCAGTAGTTAAAGGGCGCTTTGGGGCCCAAGCTGGAGTAGAGCTCCTTATCAGAAGTCAGAAAGATGGGGGGGCTCCTGGCGCGTCGGCATTTAAAGAACACGACCAAAATGACAGTGAAAACGAATAGCGAGGACACCAAAGCAAGAGCTACCACGAGAATGAGGTTCAGATCAGAAGCCAACTCGGACTCAGCGTTCTGCTCGCCCAGCTCCGGCAGCGCGTCCCGCACGCTCTCGGCCAGCACCACGTGCAGCGTGGCCGTGGCCGACAGCGCCGGCTGCCCGTGGTCCTTCACCACGGCCACCAGCCGCTGCTTGGCCGCGTCCCGCTCCGACACGGCCCGCGCCGTGCGCACCTCGCCGCTGCGCGGCTCCACGCGGAACAGCGCCGGCTCCGGCGCCCGCAGCAGCTCGTACGACAGCCACGCGTTGCGCCCCGCGTCCGCGTCCACCGCCACCACCTTGGCCACCAGGTAGCCGGCCTCGGCCGAGCGCGGCACCACCTCGAACGGCCCCGCGCCCGCGCCGCCGCCCTCCGCCCCGCCCGCCGCCGGCCACAGCACCCGCGGCGCGTTGTCGTTGCGGTCCAGCACGAAGACGCGCACCGTCGCCGTCGCGCTGCGCGCCGGCGTCCCGCCGTCCCGCGCCCGCACCTCCACGGCGAACTCGCGGCACCGCTCGTAGTCGAAGGAGCGCTGCGCGTACAGCTCGCCCGTCTCCGCCCGCACCGACACGAACGCCGCGTCCGCGCCGCCGCCCGCCAGCGCGTAGCTCACGCGCCCGTTGGCGCCCGCGTCCGCGTCCCGCGCGCTCACGCGCAGCACCGGCTCTCCCGCTGCGTTGTTCTCCGGCACGTAGGCGCTGTAGGCGGCCTCTTCGAACACCGGCGCGTTGTCGTTCACGTCCGACACCTCCAGCGCCAGATCCGCGCGGCTCGACAGCGCAGGGCTGCCCCCGTCCGTGGCGATCACCGTCACCCGGTGCTCGGACGCCCGCTCCCGGTCCAGCGCACCCGTCGTCACCACTTTGTAGGAGCCGCCCGACGATGTCACGATCTGCAGCGGCGCCTCTCCCGACAGCTCGCACCGCACCCGCCCGTTCTCGCCGGAGTCCCGGTCCCGTACTTTCAGCAGCGCCACGACGGTACCGGGCGGTGCGTCCTCGGGCACCGGGCTCGACACCGACGTCAGCGTCACCTCGGGCGCGTTGTCGTTCACGTCCAGCACCTCCAGCTGCACTTTGCAGTGAGCCACCAGCCCGCCCCCGTCCCGCGCCTCCACCAGCACCGTGTAGCCCCGCGTGTCCTCGAAATCCAGCTCCTCCCGCAGCGTTACCGTCCCGTTCTCGGCGTTCACCGCGAACTTCTGCAGCACTTTGAATGGCATTTCCCCAAAGCCGTACGTGATGCGGGCGTTGGTGCCCTCATCGCCGTCGGAAGCTGAGACGTGCAGCACCACGGAGCCCGGCGGCGCGTCCTCGCGCAGGCTCACCCGGTACCGCTCCTGCGCAAACACAGGCGCGTTGTCGTTGGCGTCGGTGACGTTGATGAGGAGCTGGGCGGTGCCGCTCCGAGGAGGATCGCCGCCGTCCAGTGCCGTCAGCACCAGGCGCAGGCTTTGCTCGCGCTCCCGGTCCAGTGCCCGGCGCAGCACCAGCTCTGCGAACTTGCTGCCTTCCTCGCTCTGCTTCACCTCCAGCGCAAAATACTCGTTGTCCTCCAACTCATAGCCCTGAAGCGAGTTCGAGCCCACGTCCGGATCTTCGGCGATCCCTACGGCAAAGCGGGCACCGGGAGGAGTGAACTCGTTGATCTCCAGCTGGATGCTGTCTCGCATGAAGCGCGGAGCGTTGTCGTTAACGTCGTGGATGGCCACTTCGACATGGAAGACGTTGAGCGGGTTCTGCACCACCGCCTCGAAGCTGACGGCACAGGACGCCGACTCGCCGCACAGCTCCTCCCGATCCAGCCTCTCGCTCACGTACAGGTTCCCGTTCTCCCCGTTCACGGCGAAGTAGCGCTTTTCCGAGCTGAGCCGCAGCTGACGCGCCGGCAGCTCGGCCGGGCTCAGCCCCAGGTCCCGCGCCAGCGGCCCCACCAGCGAGCCTCTGCTCAGCTCCTCGGGAATAGCGTAACGGAGCCGCTCCGGCGCCGCTCGACAGCAGCAGCAGCACAGCAGCAAAGCGAGCAGCAGCCCCTCTCCCGCTCTGCAGCGGCTCCTTCGCCGCCCGCCCGCCATTGGAAGCAGCGCTCGCCGCTCTCCTTCCTCCTCCCGCAGCGCTTCCAGCTGAATTCCGTCCGTCCCGAGCTCCGAAAGAGGTCGGAACGCAGCGATGCGGGCTCCGGCTCGGTCGCCGCGTCTCTTCTGTACGCTGTGAGATGAGCCGTGCGAGCGAGCAGCCAGCGGGGACGGGAAGCGGCGGCAGCGGCGGCCAACAGCGGCACCCGGAGGCCCCGCGGTGCCACCGCAGCCGTCCGAAGCTCCGCTCCCAGCTCTGACCGCAGCTGCCCGCCAGGCGGCAGCGCTGCTCCTCCCGGGCACCGGGAGAGGCGAAGCGGACAGCTCGGCCCTGCCGTGGAAGCGGAGCGTCCGGCGAGGGAACGCGTTACTGGACAAACGGCTGCGCATCAGAGCACAGGTGAGCACAGGTAAGAACAGATACACTGCACAGCAATTAGCCGACATCTTCTCAGAGCTTCTGCGAGTGCTTGCGGATTGTCTTCTCCCAGCTCTTTCATTCTGTTTCTATGACTATAACCAGCAATGGTAACAAAGCACCTCCGAAGAAAAGCTGCTGTAGGAAGCAAGCACCCGATCCACCTTGAACACCACTGTCTTTGAGGAGCTCCTCTTTCCTGTCGTATCTCAGAATGACTGAAATTCTGGGAGAACAGAGCAAACTTCACTCACTATGACAGCAGTATCAGTGCATGCTTCCACTTCCACAAGTCAGGGGGACCATCACAGCTCCCTGCTGTAACAGGCTGAACACAGCCCTGCTCCATCTGCTCTTCAAAACTGCTTCTCTTGAGAAAGGTAAGCAAACTGATGTAGGAACAGTGAAAATATACCCACATGCCTGCTATCCCTGGGGCAGTTCCATTACCAGCATGCTGTTTTGAGAATTGTAAAGAGAAGCAATTGTGTTACCTATGATAATGCCTGAGGCATATGCAACACAGCTTTCCAAGCACAGCTGACGGCTCATGGGTAAGATGATGACAAAAAAGGCACAAGATGGGGGCTCAGAAAGGCTTTGAAGCAGAGCAACTCTAGAGAACAGTGCTTATCAGTGACACCGGAACTGTGACACATAATCCACATGCCAGGAGTGGGACGGTCTGAAAATAGAAAGCATAAAACTCCCTTGAAGGCAACATTATCTTCCTTGGTACCTATTTCTGCAACAGCATCATCTCTCAGAAGAGGCCAGATGAAATTATGGAATGGAAGACTCAGAAAACCAACAAACCTTGGTTCATGACTATGGATATCATATGGCCATATGAATTAGCACAAGCTTGAGACAGTGAGTTTGGAAACTACAAACACAATGGATTTTGCTTGCGCTCTGACTGCTCTGAAAGATGACTCCATCAGTGACCAGGGGCTCATTCACAGGTGCTAGCAATACTTCATTTCCTGATCTGTATCTTGCAAGGAAGCAGCTCTCACCATTCCCTTACAAGATGCAAAGGTCTGACCTGCAGGACTCGGTTTCTCCTTCAAGCTTATTCCACTGTGGCTCTCACCAGGAAACTGCACAGCAATCCTCCTTTCACAGAACAGTCGCAATGACGCTGCCACTTTCTCACAAACAGGACCATTTTCAAGAAAAAATAGCTACAATCTGCTCCCTTTGGAGAGACACACACACAAAGAACCCCGGCAGATTGAAGCTGCACCAAGGTCAGCGTGTAGGTGGGTTTATCCTGCCAGCAAGCACTGCATTCAGAGGCCATAAGGCCATAAGATCAGCTCACTGCCTGGTAATGAGAACAAAATTGTAAAGAAAACTTTCTAACCCATAATGAGTGCTACTGCAGACCTCATCCACCACCAGCATCAATTTTCAGCCCTTACGATCAACAGATCTCATGCTACTACATGGAGGAGGAGACAAGGAGATGGAATGAGCTGCAAGGTGGCAGTGGAAGTGCAGATGATGAACTCTTTATTCTAAGAGTATCTCAGCATGCTTTGCCACTCAGTCTGTAACACTGCCCAGAGGAAACTGGCAATACTCTGCAGCTTTTTCACTCCTGAATCTCCTGTTTCTCTCCAACACAGTCATGCAAACAAATTATACCATGCTGCTTCATAGCTCTAGGGTTTAGACCCCCTCTCCAAAGATCTAACCCATTACTGGACTATTCTGATGAGGACACAGCCCTACTGCAAACCTCTGGCTTTTTGGATGCCATTCCTGACTGCTCCCTGAGGATGTGGAGACTGAGGAAAATGGGAGAGATGTGCAAAGGAATCCCCAAAATCTTGTAATGTTTGCCACCTCTAATTTTCAATCAAGACATCTGAGTGAAATAGGAAATCCCGTGACTTGATTCCTAACACTTGCGCCACTTTCAAGGCCTGAGAAAGGGCCTATAGGATCTACAACCACCAGATTTAGTCTTCAAACATACAGTTTTTCAAACCTACTCGTGGTACAGGTAAGTAGATTTGGAAGAGCTCAATGGTGAGTCACCACCAAGGTCAGACAGCGCACACATGACACGACAAGTATCATGGATTTCCACATTTACCAACAAGTAATCTCACTCTTCCACCCTCTTCCTCCACTCGGATCTTGAAACTGGGTCAACTGGCTGAGGAACACACTGTGTGCAGAGCAATTCACCCAAGTGCCTAGAAGAAGAGCTTCCCAAAGCAGGCACCAGCACAAACACCTTCCTGTTTGTTTCAAATACTGCCTTACATTCATCCAAAACAATGACAGTTAAATGAAGGAAGCAACCCTTGCATCATTGACCCACGAACACGGTTTTAATTCAGACACTTGAAACTCAACACCTGGAAGTTACTGAGGTCTCCAGCTGCAAGCAAGGTCCTAAAGGCTTTCTCTGCACTACATAGCAGACATCATTTTAACAAAATTCATTGGCTCTCATCAATTTCTTCAGTATGTGTCCTGCTCATCTCTGAGAATGTAAAGGAGTTCATATGGGATGCTTTCTCAAGATGAATTTTATGAGAAAACATGAGGGATTCGGTTTGAATTTCTGCTTCATTTTCTTAACATCAAATTCTGTCTTCAGGTTCTCGAGGCCTCGTGAAGTAAGGATTTGTAGCAAAATGACACAAGCAGTTCAAAATGCAAAAGCGCTGTCCAGAAATGGGAATATAAAGCACAACCTACCTGGGAAAAATAAAGACCTGGAAACTTAAAGAGGGAAGCTCTACGTCACCATGTTACATGGAGTTACAGCTAAATGAATGAGATTCCATGATGGAATTTTAAGGCATCCTAGCCATTGGTAACATCATTCTACATGCAGATTTTAACACCAATAACTTACTAGCATTTCCTTCAGGTCAGAGAAATGAAGATAACAGTCTGAACAGGACAGGCCTTTGTTCAGATCAAATCAAACTGTTATTCCAACAATCCTCCTGTAGACCCACATATTTTTCAGGTTCAAAGCCAGATGCACACCCTCATTTCTCTGCATTCACAGAATTGACACAGTGGACAACTTCTGGCCACAGTTCTTGGTTGCATGTCATCACTCAGCATGAACATCTAATGACTTTTTAGGAAACTCAAGTACATCAGAGTGTATCGAAGTATATCAAAGTCTATCAAGTATATCAAAGTCTGTTTTGACAGCTGTAACCATTCAAGGCATATCTTCCTGTAGAAGTCTTCCCCAAGACCTCCAGTTACAACAGATTTTCTAAGCTCTGAAAGGTTATCAGTCACATTGAGGACCATTTTCAGACAGTGGCAATAAACAACAAACATCCTTAATCCAACACACGTGAAGGAATCAGTTTCATTTGCAGATTACATCACTAGGTGCATGTAAGGGTAATAAAGATTGCTAGTAGACAGCCAAGGCACAGGAGGAACCTCCAAGAACTCAAAACATGGACCATACCAAGAGGTCACCAAGGAAGTTTGGACAAGACAAAAAGGAAAATCTTATCTAACATCTATGATAAATTGAAGGTTAACACCTAGCTGTGACTAAAAATTAACCACAACAAACCCTTTCAAATGCCTTATAACTCTTCAGCCATCAGCCATGTGTATGTCCAAGGACTCCAAGACATAAATGAAACTGGTGAACCTGTAACATGGCTGCTGCTATAACAAACACATGTGTTTGTTAGCAGAGATACGTCCAGCTCCACCCCTGGTAGGTCAGCACTGAAGTATGAAATCAAACCATCGCCCAGCCCAAACCACATCATCCAACCTGTTCTCCAAGTTCAACACCAGCCTCCAGCCCTCCTTGTTGAGCATTCAGTCACTGTCCAACTTTTTGGCCATTCATCACAGCAAGAGCACTTCATTCAGTGCTGTTTCCTCAGAAACATCAGCACACAGAAGTATTCACAGCTGTAAACAGTCAAGGTAGGTATGCACACTGATCACCCAGGCCTACAATGACAAGAGAACTTCCTGTCTTCGAGGATCAATAGAGGCCCCAGCATCACTTCTCGAAAACGTAAATGGCAACAACAAAATGAAGCCTAACGAACCATTTTCAGGTTATGAGATTAGATGCACATCATAAAAACAAAAAAAAAGTCAAAAGGAGCTGGGACACCTATGGTCTATGGAGATAAAACCAAAGTAAAGGAAACTCTTCCATCTCTATAGTGAAATAAGAAAAGAAAGTGAAGAACAGCAATGGAAACAGCTCCATCAGTCCTACAGTTAAGAACATACATCACAGTCTTTTCTGCTACACTGAGGCCCAGTTTAGACACCGAGAACAACAAAGGCAAAACTGCAAAATATAAACACGGGGTCATTAATGTTCTGTTAAGTCTCATACTACACATCAAGCACATGTGCTATTGGCAACACATCCAACCCTGCCAGCAGTGCAAAGTGTAAGGCACACAGAAGTAAAGGAACTGTAAGTTAAGCTCCTTACCAAGGGCCTCTCTCTGAATTAAATGCTTCTGAGAACCTGAGAGTCATTCCCTTTGACCCTGACCTTTCTTTTTTCCCCATATACAAAATTCTGTTGCCAGCTGAATGAGATCGAGTCAAGTGACTTCCAACCATGCTTCACTTCCAAATGTAAAAGCAGCGGCTGTAAATGGGACACCTTTGCATGAAGTTCATGCCTGTGTATGTAAAGATGAATACGAAGAAACCACATCACAAGATTGCAAGGATGGATAAGTGAGGTTTCACACAGGAATTACAAACCATTCTACCTAGGAAGCATCTTTCCACGTACAGGGCTTTGTGCAAAAGCTTCATTCTCAGAGGACTCAGGTTGTCTCCAACAACAGGACACCGGTGCCACTGCATCAGTGGCACAGACGCTGGCACCAGGTCTGAAATTAAACCACTGCCCTGACAAAATCAGGCTGACCCAGCCATTTCCCAGGCTCTACATCAGCACTTCACTCTCCACTCAGGATGCACAGCCTTTGCTTTCACCATCAAAGCTATGCAGCATTTGGCTCTATGTCAGCCACCA